TAGTTTTTATCCGCTAGTATTTTCCCTTTGAATCTCTTTACAATTCGAAATCAAATTCAAAACTCAGTAGAAGAAAGGAAGAATCGACTTACTACGGTTGTAATACGAATAAATACATATATTTAATTATTTTTATTTACATAATAATTGTTTGAAGCTCATATTCCATCAAATTTTTAAATAAAAACATTAAAATGTTGAAAATGTTCATATATTTTAATAGGGTTTTGGCACTTTATTGAGGAATTACTACATACATAGTCGAACTGAACTTGATATTTTGAAATTTAAATTATTTATCAAAATTAAAATTTAACTTGAAATTTATAATTATTTAGTCATATTTTGCATAATTCTAAGTAGATTTTGTAAAAAATCAAGAAAGAAAAATTTTAACGTGCTTTATTTTTTCTTTTTTATAATAATACATATTATTATATAATTAACATATTCATAATGTTTCACCCTTTCAAAAATATAATCCTCCTCCTCTCAAATAAACGTACATACGGGTGGCCTCTTTTTTCAAAAAATTAAAATTTGAAATTTTTGGCTCAAATATTAGAGATTTTTTCAACCTTCAACGATATATGTTGTCTATATCTAGGGCTGTACAAGATTTAAAAAAACATTGCCGGGTTACCGTAGAGGCCTAAAAAAATCGCGCCTCGGCGGCAAGCCGCCTCGGCATTAAGAATGCGCATCTAAATTTTTATATGTCCTTCTTTCTTTTATTTTTCCCTTCCCTTTCTTTTCTTTTTCTTTTTTTCCCTCCTCTTGCTCTCATTTACCTTTTTTTTCCTTTTCTCATCATTTTTCAAAATTTAAAATTTTTATCAGAAATCTTGCCTATAAAAGCAGACTATGGAACCTTTTAATGCCTCTTAATCAATATTATACAGCATAAAGCATATTAAATGAAAGTAATTACGTATAAATTTATTTTATTATCTTATTTATTAATTCTTTAGCATGTATTGTTTAATATTAACTTTTCTGTACATTAAATATGATATCTCCAAAGTATGAATGCCTTGTAACGAAACGAAAACTTAATTTTATGTTGAATATTTGTCACAAACATTAGATTATTAAAATATATGTTGGATATCCCTTAGAATGAGACTTCATGACTCTTGTTGTCTAACGTGAGCTTTGGATTGCAAGCTCTGTGGTTAACGAACATAAATTAATTGTAAAGTTTTCAAAAATTTTCATCGTTTCTATCAGCATCTATTTTTCCTTTAAAATAATATATTTGTATGAATACAATATTTAGTAATTTTTTTATTTCCCATAATTTCATTCAAAATTTCAGAAAAAATTAATTTCTATTCAATATTATTTCAGCTTCAAAACACTTCATTCTTATAGATGTTGATTCACTAAAGTGTGATTCTATTTATATGAGGTAGGGGCATGAGGCTCGGCAAGTCTTATTGCTTTTTACCTCAATTTAGGTATTAAATAATTATAATGATTCATAGTGGCCGCTGCTGACTGGCCATCAGCAGTCCCCTGGCCAAGATTAATATAATTATTTAATACTTATCCAGTTTTACATCAATAACAACAAAGCTAATCAATCATCATTCAGAAATGCGGGAAATTACTACTAATATTAAAGATTGATAGACATTAGGCTGGCCACCTTCTGTCTAATATCTTTACGAATAAAAATAATACTTTTTAAAACAAATTATTTAATAAATTTTATTAAAAAACAAAATCAAATATCAAATTGATCATCATTCAACTTGATGAAGAAGCGGCATGCTACATATTCTTCTTTGCATGATTCGTTCATTGAATTTCTTGTCTTTCGCAATTCAGATATTACACGTTCTACATCTGCTTCACTGCACGAAAGTGACATCATCCTTTTTCCAATTGGTCTTATTGCTTTTAGTTGCTTTATGCCATTCATGTACCAAAACTTGCCATCATTTTGAGCAAGATGATGACCATTTATAAGATGGGAATCATCTTGCTCTATGAAGAAATCGTAAGCATCACTCAATTCCTTGGCTCTATCGTCTTTATTGATCGTTGGATCAACTGTTGATTCGGCAATTGCTCTTTGTCTGAGGATTGTTATCATGAATGTGTATAGATCTTTTATCTCTTCATCTACAACATCCCAGACCAAGGAATTCCTCGAACCATCGGCATTTGTTTCGGCTGCATGATCGTCGTTAAGCATTTGTTCCTCTTCTGCTTGCTGGATCTCTTCATCATGCTCGGCTACCTCGTCAACACGTTCTGTTCGTTCTTCTTCAAGGATTTCGCCGAGTTTCTCAAATGTGATCTCGCGATTGATGATCCTCAGGGAAGGAATCGTTGGGACTTGCACATCTTTCAACTGCATTATAGGTGGATAGCTTGTCTTTCCTCCAAAACCCTTCTTGTCTCTGATGATCTTCCTTGCTAACGGTGTAAAGCCGAAAGCAAACCGAAGCAAATCAATTCTACCATATTCTTTCATATCATTTTTGAATATTGTAGTGATTGATCGGAGAATCTCTTCACCATCTGGCGTTAATCTTCCTGCCATTTCATCCAACATCCCTTGGCACTGTTGTATCATCAGGAATGCATAAGCACCCATGGACTTGTTGGATTCCAGCCATAATTGAAGTTGCTTTAATGGCTTGAATATCATTAAAGCATCTTTAAAGAGTGGAGGAATTCCATCACGTGTCCATTGTAACTGTTCACGTGTAGCTCTGGAAAGGGATAGTGGAAGATCTCCACTTCTTAAAGCAGTATTAATTGTTTCCAGATTATCAAAGATGAAAAACAGAGTATCATATATGTAGAGCCAGCGAGTTTCCGGGATTGATGGAACCCTGATCTTGTATCTCGCTCTCATATCGTGATTCTTAAAGATAATGATAATCTGGTGAACTCTATTCATCAGTTCATTCAACAATGGACATTGCTTACGTGCGTGGACAATAGCATTGTTCAAGACGTGGTTAAGGCAACGAATGTACACGGTTTGTAAGCCAGGGAAAAGGGCTCCTTCTGGCCTCCAGTGGCAGAGTCCTTTAACCTGGGCTGGCAAACCATCTCCGACTACTCCAGCTACGTGGTTTTTATTAACCTTAAGAGAATCAAACCACGTATGGTAGTCCTCGTATGTCCAATTAGTCGAAATTGTTGTGTCGAAGAATTGGTGGCGATCTGTTTTGCCTGGATTGCACACACAAGAGAATAGACCATGACGGCTGCCGTGTGTTCCGCAGTCCAGGGAAATTGAGAAGATGCGGAATTCCTCGCAGAACTTTAGGCCCCGAGAGGAGTCTGTTTTGCCTAAAGTAATCAATGCCTCTCTGACACCGCGCCGTGTGAACTCAATGTCTGGGATTGTAAAGTTGATGCCCTGTTCGCGATTGACTTTATTTTTAAGCCATTTGGCGAAGCTCTCTAGGAAGCTTTTAAATGCTGGCTTCATTGTGGCATAAAGGCTTATATCTAGGCTCGCAATAAGCCTGGCAATGATCTCTTCTAACGAAGGATCATTACCAGAGCCAACTGCTTGCTGAGTATTCTCAACTTGGTGCTCAGCAGGAACGTAGTTGGGCATTGGGAGTAAAAATTTGCACTTATGATCTTTAAAATCATTTTTCCTGCTTTTTTTAATGCATCGCACGAACTGCCCTTGACCTAACGTTTCACTACATTCGGCACAGTATGTAAAGAGCCTTCCTTTGTCTGATTGATTAGGCTCATTCTCATAATAGCCGATCGTAGTGAAACATTTTTTCCACACTTTGTTTCCAATGTTTCAGGAGTTGGTGGATATTTCGTCTTCTTAAATGGAATCCACTCATCATATACATGAGGATCCCATGCAGTCATAATAAAAATAAAGCTTTTTGAATATATTCAATTTTTAAATGATATTTTCACGGGTTAAATATAAAATAAAGAATAAGATGTAAATTATTAAAATATTTAATTTTAAATTTTGAACCCGTGATAAATATTTTTTTGCATTGTTATTAATAATGAAAAATAAAGCTTATTTCAATGAAAATTGTTCTGCAAATTTATTTCACTTTTGACCTCACTTTTTCCATAATTCAATTTTTTACTTTTAATATTTTAGATCTTCATAATATCATTTGAAAAATTAACCATATAAAAAAATCAAGTTATCAATTCACTTTTTCCGTAATTCAAAAATCAATAATATAAATAATATATCTTTTTATCAAATATTATTATTATATTCTATGAAAAATGAGGTCCGGAAATTTTGCGGATTCCCGTAACTCAATTTTACGGAAAAAGTGCAGTAAACTATTCAAAATACGGAAAAATTAGTGTAAACTAATGATTTTACGGTAAAATCACGGAAAGTCCCGGAAGAATATATGTGCCTATATGAAATTATACAAAAATGAATCAAACGCATTTTAAAAGATTGTTCTTGTATTATAAATGCTATTCGCAGATTTATTAGTTGAAGAAAATTACCAAATTTTTGCCGATTTACAAAAAATGATTTACAAAGCATATTTTTATAAGGCTTTAAAAATCTTTAAAATGTGACCGGTGACGGAAATCCATGGTAACCAACCGCGGTTCCCGTTTGGAATGCCATATCTATATCAGACTTCCTTTCTTTTTGATACTTAACATTGTTCCTAAATCTTAGCCGTTAAGGCTGTTCTGAAAATATTTTTTTTCGAAAAAATTCGAAAAAAATTCTTAAAATTCAAAAATCCCTTAATTCCTGAGGATTTTGGGAAAAAGTTTTTACATGAACATGTGTATATTATATGAAGTATATTGATAAGGTAAAAATCAAATTTTATTGCATATTCATCGAGAAAATAAACTAACGAATCCCTCAAAATTGAGAGGGTAATCCTCCTCCTCTCAAATAAACGTGCATACAGGTGCACCCTTAAAGTTATAAATTGAAATTAATTAATTTATATATCCCGAACTGTGAGTCATTATAAGTTCTCGATATAAGAAAGATTCATTTATCTTCGTAATTGCTTGCGTATTATGTAGGTTTTAATTAGAATATCTTGAGTTGGTATTGGTATAGAAATGTATTTAATGACATCAATAGTTTCTGTATCTGTAATTTGAGTTGAACCTTCAAAATGAACATAAACAGACTCTTCTCCGAAAAAGTCTTTACATGATTTTCTTAAAATTGTTTCACTTGTAATATATAAATTACTTCTTTTTCGAAATGCATTTTTTGGACCTTGATAAACATTAAATCTGCCTTTAATATAAATATTCATTTGATTTGGAATATCGGAAAAAGCAGTGGATGAAATTCTGATTGAAGTTATATTGTTTTGGAATGTAATACTTGTTAGAGACTCACAATTTCCAAATGCTTTATCTCCAATATAACTTACATACCCTAGAATTGTTATACTTATTAATGATGTGCATGAATTAAATACACCGTCTCCAATTTTCTCGACACTATCTGGAATTGAAATACTTGTTAACGATTGGCATGAGTCAAACGCATAATTTTCAATAGTTGTTATTTCAGCTGGAAATGTAATATTTGTTAATGATAAGCAATATTGAAATGTAGAATACATAATTTCAGTTATCTTTCCGAGATATGTAATATTTGTCAAATTTGTACAATAAAAAAATGCATTATTTAAAACATTATTTACATTTTGAGGAATTATTATACTTGTTAAAGATGAACAATATTGAAATGTACCATATTCAATTCTATTTATGCTTCTTGGAATTATAATACTTGTCAATGATTCACAATAAGAAAATGCACTCTCTCCAATCATATTCACATCATCATGAATTTGAATTGATGAAATTTTTGTACAATAAGAAAAGCACATTTTTAAAATAGTTGTAACATAACAAGCAACAGTATATTCACCTTGATATGTTTCAACAACTTTAATTAGTGTTGAATTATCTGATCCTTTATAAAGAGATATAGTATCACTTTTAAAATTTGCATTTTCTTGATCAATGGTTATATTTTCTAAATATTTGCAACCATAAAATGTTGTGGAAGAAATTGATTCTACATTTTTTGGAATGAAAATTGAAGAAAGTTTTGTGCTTCTAAAGCAATCATTATTTAATTTAAGTAAGTTTGAATTCGATGAAATATTTATTATTGTTAATCCACTACAGTTAAACGCAAAATCATTTATGTACTTCACAGAATCTGGTACGTTTATTGATGATAGTTTTTGATCGTAAGAAAAGCAAGACCTTCCAATATTCTCGAGATTTGGAGGAAGTATAACCTGTTTTAAGTTTATTGTATCTTTACAATTCTTAAATGCATAATTGTCTGAACTTCCACTTTTTATTTCTGTAACTTGTTGGCGGATTATAACTTCTCCAGTATAATCTGGTGAACAACCAATTACAACTTGATTGCTAGCATTGTTATATTGTAGCGAATCGGCACTAAAGATCGAGCAAAAATAATAAAAAACAAGAGCGGACTTCTGTAAAAGTAATTCCAAAAAACTTAAAATAAAAAATTTTATTCTCAAAATTTTGAGTGGCATTAACACTCAATTTTCGGAATTTTACAATTTTAAAAATATGTGAAACAGCTTTCAGAATCTGTACTATTTTGACGCAGATTCCGCATATTTTGTAAAGTTTTCAATTTATATCAAGAATTGCAAACTAGTAAAATTCGAACTTTTTCATCTCTATTTGGAGTCAATTAATTCTATGCCAAATTGTAAACTTCTGAAAATTGAGAATCATTACAGCTAAAAATTGTGTTAATTATTCCTCTTATTTTTATTTTATGACAAATTGTAAACTTGAAATTGGCAAAATATACATCTAAAATTCAGTTATATTTCTAACTATAACTCAGTTTGTGCTCAACCTAAATGTGGGAGAGGTTAGTGGCATTTGATTTATTTCTGCAGTTCTTATGAATCTATTGATCTTCGTCCTTGCATACAATTATCAAATACTTACTCCATCATGAATTTGAATATTGTCAATCACTCTCTTCTATATCACTTACAAGTTCAACCAAAACATTAGGCGATTTTTGTTTATCCATTACCAATATAATCCCTTTATCATTTCCTTCTTCGATAACTATCATCTTCTGTTTAAAACTGATAGCATCAAAATCATTAACTCATTCAGTTTGAGCAATACAGGAATTACAGAATTTACATGTCCAATATCTCTCGAAACGATTTATCCAGAATCGTTCTTTTCATGTACATCCCTTTCTGCAATCATCATTCCTTCAACTTCGAAACATCACATGCAACAACAACAACAACAATTACAAAGTTGTCACAGGTGCATTGTTTGATATCTCTATGACATCTCTTATCTTGTTCCCTCCTGCATCTCCCGTCAAGTTCTTTTCACTTCCCGGCAGCACTATGAACATCGGTGAAGGTGCATTCATGAGCTGCATCAATCTTATCACCATCACAATTCCTAATGACAGTGTTCAACAGATCTCACAGAACGCTTTTGAAGGATGTCGGAATCTGAAACTTATCACCATTCCATCATGCGTTCTTTCAGTTGGACGAGATGCATTCAAAGACTGCGAACATCTTTCATGTGGTTGTGAGATTGAGAACCGAAACAAACAATTCATCACAGAACTTATCACCAGTAGCAAACTTCCACGACGCTGCACTTATGACTGTTCTTCTCTATGTTCTGCTTTTGTAGTATTATAAAAACTATAACTGCTAATTTTGTTCATTTGACTATTTTTATCGAATTCTTAAATGCATGGCTATCTGGACTTTCGCTGTTTATATAAATTTTAAATGAAATCCACAAGTTTTGACCATATATTTATATAATCTAAGTTTGGAAAGAGCAATTGGAAAAATTTGAGGGAGAAAAATTGAATACTTGGAAAAAATTTTATGGAAAATTAATTGAAAAAAGAAATGAATTAAATATTCAATTATTAAAATTTTCGGCATATGAATCAAATGAATCTAGTTTTTAATCTTCCATCAAAACAAGAACATTTACAGACTATTAGTTCAGCAGAGCTAGTATCAGGAAATGTCCCGGCCATAACTCGTTCATTCATTTCTGATTCTAGTTCCACAATCTTCCGTAATCAAATTTTTAGACAGAACTACGGGCAAATCGCTTCTAATATAGGAATAGATACAGTTCTGTCTTTATTTGAAGAAACCAAAAATCAAAATACAAATACGCGAAACAATACTTTTCATAACCGACCAGTTTTTGTTACAAGTTTTATCTTTCATCCACCAGAAGATATATTAAACACAGAATTACCAAAATGCCTCGAACTAATTCATGAAGTTCAGAATCTATTTTTGAATTTCGATATTAACAGCAAAGAACAGACATTAAAACTTGTAGATTTCATCGAAAATCACATTTGTACTGGTTTAAGAGAACTTTCAATAAATATCTTTCTTAGACCGCAAAAAGTCAAAGATTACGTTCATTTATACACATTATTATCAAAAAATGTTAAGATTATTGCATGCCAATACCTTGTTTGCACTCCAATTTTTTCACATTATTTAATTCAAGAAAAAATTTGTTCTGAATTTGAAGCAAAACAATTCTTAATAACCAACAACGGTTTTTGTAACTACTTATTACAGATTTCAAATCTTGTTGATCGATATAATTCCATGAATTATGAAAAAAATAAGATCGAGATCATTGAAGCATTCATTGATGATAATTTAGATAAATTCATTGAAATTACATCAAAAACAAATCTCTCAGAAAGCAAAGAATTACCATTTTTAACTGAATTGTCAGCATTATATGGTGCAGTTAACTGTTTCAAGTATTTGTTAGTTCATGAACCCAATTTGAGTGATATTTGCAATTTTGCCATTATTGGTGGTAACAAGGAAATTATACGACTTCTTATACAAAAAGAATTCAATTTCAGAGAATCTTCAGTTGCTGCATTATATTTCCGTCGTGATGACTTATTTGACTGGATCCAATCAGAAACAAAAGCTGAAGATACACAAGAAAATAGAAATCATATTGAGTATGCAATTACTGATACTCTTTCGATTCAAGCAATTTATTCATTAACCAAGAAAAATCGACTCATCTATACAAATGATTGGTTATCAGTTTTTTCATTAGATGATTTAATTGAACCAGTCAAAGAACTGTCAAAGAGCTGCATGTTTTTGGGCTCATTATTTTTCAAAGTTACAAATAATGAGATCATTAATAATTTTCTTGATAATGCACAAACTTCTTACATCATAAAACTTCTTAGATATGCAATAAAGAATGGTTATTCATTACATATCCGTGCTATAGTTAGTCATCCGAAATTTGTACGTATTTACCAGACTAATCCAAAAATTTTTGATGAAATTAAGAAGGAAAATCCAGAAATTTTTGATGAAATCCAAAATCAATTACAAAATGATGATGATCTTGATAGAAATTATCATAATTTCATTAATGGAATCATAATTAATTATTCAATTGTCTTTGATTTAATGAAGTACTCAATGAAGATGAATGATCTGCAAACATTTATAAATCTTGATTTTATCAATAAAATCATTGGAATGGAAGTCACAAAAGAATTTTATGATAAAATCCTCCAATTGTACATCATCATGTTCAAACCAATTAACAGAGAAAGATTGAGGAAGAATTCCAATTCGAAACTGAATGAATTTCCAGAAGAAATGATTAAACTTCACAGCGATTTTCTTGATTTTCTCACAGATCCTGTCAACAAGAAACATATTGACATAAAAGAACTTTCTAAGATAAAATTCAATTTAGATTTCATCAGACATCTCGAATTTTCATCCGAAGAAATTCAATTTTTAATGAAATCTTCAATAAATATATCTGATTTGATATTCAACCCAGTTAATACAAGATTCTTTTCAATTGAAAAAATTATTAAATATGGTAATATGGATACAATAATCTATGCAATATTAAACAATCCACTGAGTCAAGAAGATATTAGATTTATAGAAAGTTACATCACTCAAAATGATATTGATAGAGATAAAACTATTGTCAGGAAATTTTTCAGAAGAGATGAAATCTGCAACAATTTTGATATACTAGGACATTATATGATGTTTTCATAAAAGACAAATCTTATGATGAAATTTCATTTAAAATTTTAGACACATTACTTTCAAGGGATTTGGAAATTAGTTATAAAATATTAATATTCTTAAAAATTCCAACAAGCAAAGAAGTATATGATTTTATTATATCACGAAGAGAAAAGATCAATAATTCTTGTTTGATCATTTATTCAACAAGAACATCAACACAAATTGTTGAGAAAGGAACTCCAATTGAGGATATTTACTTTGAAAAAATATTTCTCTCATCGGCAAAGATTAATTATGAGCTTTTATTCGACTACAAAGTCTCCAAACATGCAATTGCCTTGGGATTACTTAATTCCATCAAATCAAAGAACATTAATGGAATGAATTTCTTGATTTCGAAAGGTGCTCCTATTAATGTGATTATCGATTCTATTACTCCTCTTCAAATGGCAATTTCAAGTTGTTTCTTAAAAGGTGTCCAGATTTTGATTAGCTTAGGCGCATCTCTTGGATTCAATGGCTTGCAAACTGCTTTAAATGCATGTACTGGATGTAGTAACAGTGAAATCGTTACTTTAATAAAGAGCAAAGCTGATAATGATTATGAATCTCGTTACAAAAATTATTCTCCTCCAACTTTCAGTTCATCGAGTAATGAAGACTTGATAAGACGAATCAATAGTAAATATCGAAACCCACTTCCATCTAATATAAATTTAGACATGTTATCTGATATGATGAATAATTCTTATGATTATGATATAGCATTGAATATATTACTTTCAATAGCTAACATTGACCATAGTCCAATCGATATTCTAACTCCAGAACAAGCAGAATTTAGAGATAAATTACCAATACACATTCGAAATGAGTTATGGAACTTCGTTAAAAATAACATTAATAATAGTTATCCAGTATTTCGAACAGCATATTGTGCTATCACCGGCGCCAAATTAGATAATCCTTATTCTCGACATAGTCATCTATTGTTCATTGCAACAAGACTTGGTAATTTTAATGCTGTCAAGAACTTAATAGAATATGGTGCTTCAATCGAAGAAGTTGAAGGTTTCTCTTGTTTCTTCTCTCCATCTTTAGAAGCAATCAGCAAAGATCGATCAGACATCTTATCTCTATTCATTAAAGCCGGTTTGAGATTTGATCACATCTATTCGAATGACAACTTTACATTGATCAATGCATGCATTGAGTTCAATTCTATGAAATGTTTTGATCTTTTATTTGAAAAATCATCACTTCGCCATGTTGTTGTTGAAACACCAATGATGGCAGTACTTCAAACATTCGAACGAACAGGTAATGATTATTTCATCAACAAACTTATTGACAAGATCGATATTGAATACGAGCATATTGTTGATCCTTCTTTTGCTGAATACTTATTATTCAAAGAAGGCAAAATTCCAAAATTCCACTATACATCTTATCAAAGACCGAAATTAACAAGGAAAACCAACAATATCAATATTCTTGTTGATAAACTTAACCAATCTGGAATAGCTCAACCAATACTCGCATACAAAGTCCTTGAAGTAAATTTCCATGCTAATATTAATGAAGTTAACAGACTGAGAATACCTGTAATTTTGCATTGAAATTTGAAAAGTCTAGTTAATAAAAACATTTTTAGAATGATACTTATTTAGTCTTTGAGCAATTGAGAAAAAAATCAATAATGAATTCATAAGTATGTCGGGAATTTTCAATGCTCGATTTTAAGGTTCCCTTAAAATCGAGCTAATTATTGAAATCTCAGACATACTTTAACATTTGTTCGGACTGTTTCAGAGGTTTGAGATTCTCTCAAACCTCTGAAAAGTCCGGATAAATTTACTAAATATTTCGAAAAATTGAAAATATAAAAATAACCTTAAAATATATTCAATTAAGAGTATCTTCAGAACTAAATAGCATTACCATATAATGGAGGTCATTATTCAAATAATTATGAATCATTTGATTCAACAGAATCTAATATTGACTCTATTGTTATTCATTCACAAACAAAGTATATTTTTGGAAGTAACCAAAGTAATTATGCATTCAAAAACTGTAATTCTACAATCAAATCAGTCATATTTGAAACAGGATCACAATTGTATGAGATCCAAAGTTATTCATTTTATTATTGCAGTTCTCTTGAATCCATTGATCTTCGTTCTTGTACACAATTAATGAATATACTCGATCATGCATTTGAATATTGTCAATCACTCTCTTCTATATTACTTCCAAGTTCAACCAAAACATTAGGTGATTTTTGTTTTTCCAATACTGATATTTCTTCATTTACATTTCCTTCTTCAATCACTATCATCCCTCAATATTGTTTTTATGCTTGTTCAAAACTAGCAAATCTTGAAATTCCAATTGACAGCAACATTGAAACCATTAAATGGCGCTGTATTGCAGGTACTCGAATAACAGATTTTAAAATTCCATCAAAAGTGTATTCTATAGAAGGAGCAGCATTTGAAAATTCATTTCTTCAATCAATCTCTGTTGATAGACAAAATACAAATTTTTACGAAGAATATTCACTATTGATTAATAGCAAATTAAAATCAGCTATCTTTTATCCTCCAAAGAAATCAGGTCCAGTTACTATTCCAGAAGGCATTGTTGAAATAGGATATGCTTCACTTTCTGGCTGCTTAATAACAGGTATTACTTTACCAAAATCTCTGAAAATAATTTCTGAATTTGGATTACAAGCATTGCAAATTAAGGAATTAGATATTCCAGATTCAGTAACATCAATTGGAGCGTATGCATTGCGAGGCTGTACGCTATTAAAAAGAGTCAAATTACCATCATCAATTGTTACACTCAATAAAGGTATATTCACAAATACTGGATTAATATCGATTGAATTACCAGATTCACTAAAAACAATAAATAGTGAATGCTTTGTTAGATGTCCAAATTTGAAAGTAGTCGTATTACCAGAGAATTTGACAGCATTGAATGGAAAAGTATTTGATACAACAACTAGATTAGAGTTCAATGAAAATTCAAAAATTTACGTTAATGAATATTATGTTATCATGACAAAAGACAATCAAACAGTTTCACAATACATCGGCGGTAACGAAGCTAAAGATATTTCAATTTTATCAGATGTCACCGAAATCAAATCATCAGCGTTTGAAGGCAAAAGTTTACTTACTAAAGTCATCTTTGAAACAAATTCAAAATTACAAACTATCCAAAACGATGCATTTTCAGGTTGTGAGAATATGAAATTCATTGAATTATCAACAAAACTCACGAAGATCGGGGACCGAGCATTTTTTAACTGTAAGAATCTTGAGAGTATTAGTCTCAGTTCATGCACAAGCCTTGGCATCCATGCATTTGAGAATTGTATCAAACTCACAAGTGTTTCTCTTGAAGACAGTTCATTAACAACTATTGGTGATAGTGTCTTTTCAGGGTGTACTTCACTGACAAATATCAGATTGCCTCAATCTTTGACATCTGTTGGCACATCATCATTTTCAGGATGCACATCTCTTACATTAGTTATATATCACAATATGATTTCATCACTTGGAAGCAGTTGTTTCAGACAATGCAATCAAGTTCGTGTTGATCTTAGCAGTTGTACAACTCTCACATCAATCAGTGAGTTTTGTTTCAGTGACAACACTAACTTAGTTGAAATCAAACTTCCGAACAGCATCAAAATCATTAACTCATACAGTTTGAGCAATACAGGAATCACAGAATTTACATGTCCTATATCTCTCGAAACGATTTATCCAGAATCATTCTTTTCATGTACATCTCTCTCTACAATCATCATTCCATCAAATTGCAAACTTTCATCTATTGGTGTTGGTTCATTTCGAAACTGCTTCAGTATTCGAAACATCACATGTAACAACAACAATTACAAAGTTGTCACAGGTGCATTGTTTGATATCTCTATGACATCTCTTATCTTGTTCCCTCCTGCATCTCCCGTCAAGTTCTTTTCACTTCCCGGCAGCACTATGAACATCGGTGAAGGTGCATTCATGAGCTGCATCAATCTTATCACCATCACAATTCCTAATGACAGTGTTCAACAGATATCACAGAACGCTTTTGAAGGATGTCGGAATCTGAAACTTATCACCATTCCATCATGCGTTCTTTCAGTTGGACGAGATGCATTCAAAGACTGCGAACATCTTTCATGTGGTTGTGAGATTGAGAACCGAAACAAACAATTCATCACAGAACTTATCACCAGTAGCAAACTTCCACGACGCTGCACTTATGACTGTTTTTCTTTATGCTCTATCAAAATTGTGAACAATATTCAATCCAATTTCCTCATTCATCCATTTATTATTATGATTTTATAAAAATAAAAAATTCTCATCATATTTAAATTAATTATGAGCAGAAACCATTTTTTAATTCCATGTCATAATGAATTTCAATTCGAATCCAGAGGTCAACCCATTTGATACTACAATAATCAGCGTTATATCCTATTGGACCTGGTATATATTCTCCATTCCATATATCATATGCACCAATTGCAAATCTCCAATTATGTTTCCCTGAATTCGAAGTTCCATCGATATATGCATTAGGATCTTGAGAAAGTGAAAGTCCCGAAAAATAATAAGATTTATTTCCTGAAATATGTTTATAAACAATACCTGTACCGTTGGAATTAGGATTTAAAGATTGGTTAAATCTTGTGTAAGATGGCATCTGAGGGTATTCAATAAGAAATTCATAAACATTATTAAACAAGAAATCTTCATCAATTAATCCAAGTATACTAAACATATGTTTAGATACAGAATACTTAGCGGTTTTACTATTAAATAAATCATCTTTTGAACGAAATAAATCATGATGAAAAATTCGAAGCCACAAAACATTTTCAAAATCTTTTGTTATATATCCATTAATTTCTTTGTATTCACTTGTGTTGATTAATGGATAATCCGAATAAACTACCTGCTTCAATAATTATTTCCTATTTTACAATTTATTTTGGCACTTTTAGTATTAACCTTAAACTATAAAATGATTGAAATTGAGAACATTCCAATACCTTATTACAGTGAATTCATAAATTATTGATAATAATATTACTTTACATACGAAGATCAAAACTTATAAACTCGTATTTAGATATCTGTCTTTCAAAAACTGAGAGAATTAATAGTGCAAATTACACTCATCTGGCAACATGTGTGAAGCGTCATTAAAATTAACATTAAACATCTTAAATGAATGTCATGTTATACGAGCGTAAGTGTATTATTAATATGTTTTGAAAAATTGATTCACCTTTCTAATTAAAATTACTTTTCTAAATTGATAAAATATGATAATAATTGTTTTTTTATTAAAAAATAAACAATATATTTAAAAATAACAAAAAATACAAATAAATATCACTGCATATTATTTGAAATGATTTGTATATACTTTGCACAATCGGGGAAAATCTTCAAATTGTTCATGAAATCACTGAATTGTTTCTGTTGTCTCAAAAACAGAGAAACATTCTTATGAACAGTCAATGCAGTCAAAGCAACAGCAGCATTTCTGAAACATTCACGAACAGCAGAAGCAGCGGTGATGATAGACAAAGCAAGTTGTGGATATCCATTTGCACAACACACTTTTGCCATGTTTTCATACATCATTGCAGCAGCAATAATTGTGTTGCTATCTCTGATATTCAACAAAGTATTTGAGAAATTCGTGAAGAATCCTGCTTTGTCCAATCTATCAATCAATCCCTTTTCCAAGTACTTTGGAGACAAAATTATACAAAAACTGCCAATAATAAAATTGTCAGAATTTGATGCCAAAAACGCGAGTAAATTCGGGAATTTCTCCATGACTAACAAATGACTTCTTGCTGTCATGTTCTTCCACAAAACCAACAATAGTCTATATGTATCCAAAGCATCAGGAAGTCCTGTTTCGTACCAAGAATCATCTTTTACCATCAAAACAGCGGCATCTTGATTATAATCGGCCAAAAGAAGAGGTAAAATACTTGCATCTGTACTTAAATGCGCCATACACAAAACGCAATGAATCAATTCTTTCGTAATAGGCAATCTATTGTAGATTTTGATGAAAATAGAAGCGATTGCAGGACAAACATCAGCATTCATTGCATGTCTACACATTAAATCAATGTCTAATGGCATTGATGGTTCATAAAGTGTTGCAATGGCTGAATATGCTGCTGCCAAAACATTTGGATGCTTTGAATTCGTGAAATAATAGAAAATGGATTTGAAACAATCAATTCTTTGGTTAGAATAATCAGGAAATGATTCTAAAATGTTCATCAACGAAATAATATACATATCAGCTTCTTCAATGTCAAAGAACTTCTGACAAACTAATAAAAGAATGTCAAATAATTGAACAAAATTTTGAAATTCTGTCAAATTTTGGAGAAAATGTGACAAAATAATTATCATCGAACTTGGCTGATTTTCAAGGAAAAACCTGATGTATCTGATATGGTTTTGTGTGACTAAGTTCGGCCTGAAACAGAAGAACAAACCAAATAAATCTAATGACCTTTTAATGATCGATTCAGTTTGTGTTGGCAAATTTACAAAAAGTGACTTTTTCTCACAAAAATCGATGAAATCATTGTTTTTCATCATTGCTTCGCAATACGCGTATTGTACATGTGTTGTAACTATCTCATTCTGTGGCTTTGCGATGTATCCGGACGTATATTGGAAGAAAACTTCGAAATTCTCTGGTTCAAGTGAATTTGCAACCTGATGGAGATGAGTAAAGAACTGGGGATGTGGAGCGGCCATTAATAACCTTTGATCCGGTTTGGAATTGCTTGTTCCGGGGGAAACAGACCCTGCATTGTTGAGATTTCGGGAAATTGGTTCTGGATTCGGACGATACTTGTTGGATGGATCGAGAAAGTCTACGTAATCAATGGCTTCATCATCCAAGAACTCTGGTTCTTCGTCATCGTCGTCGTTTTGAGGAATATTCTTCATTTCTTCAATTTGACGGATAACTTCGTCAACATTGCAGTATTGCTTAGGATCTTTGGATTTGGCAGTCTCTTTGATCTTCTTTCCTTCTTTTATGACTTCTTCCGACTTAAAACCATCAAATCCGTATTTTCCTGTGGCGAACATCTTGCAAATCTTTGCGAAAGTAGGCCGTTTGGTAGGATCTTTATCCCAGCATTGACTGATAAGGTCGCGAAGCTTCTTCGGTGTCTTCTTCGAAAATCTTGGTCGATCTGTTCCTTCAGAGAGTACTCCATCCATCATCTGCTTGTTGTAACCATCGTAGGCATGCTTCTTTTCGGACATTTCCCATAGCATGATGGCGTAGGAGTAGACATCGACTTGTGTATCGTAATCTCTTTCGTTGTAAAGCTCAGGAGCCATGTAGATGATGGTACCTGATCTCCTTGTCATGAAATTCTCTGTATCAACGATTCTTGCTACGCCGAAATCGCAAACTAAAGGATGTTTGTTTTCATTTAAAAGAATATTGGCAGGTTTGACATCACGATGTACTATATTTTGCTGTTGTACGGCGCTTAATCCGTGCGCGATCATCATTGCAATAATTGTTAAACGAGTCGGTGATAGAGTGTCAAATTTCGAAAATCCAGGGAAAATGTAATCAACAAGGCATCCACCTTTTGCAAATGTAGTGATAATTGAGTAAGGACGTATAACAGTGAAACCTACAAGTTTGATGCAATATTTATCTTTTGAAACGGCGTTTGTGTAAATTTCTCTAATAAAAGTAAGAAGATTCTTTCTGCCTAGCTTTGTGACGAATAATTTTTTGACAGCAACTTCTTCTTTCGTTTTAGAATCAATAGCTCTCCAAACTTCTCCGAAACCACCTTTACCAATTTGTTTATCCATCTTAAAATCATTTAAATCGCGTACGTATTGTGGTAAGGCTTTCACCAAATCAATGAGTGTCTTTGGGAAATCCTTTTCTTGCATTTCGTTTCAAGTTAAAAAAAATTGAAGCAAAAGTGACAATGATCTGACTGAAAATGATTAAATTTTAATTAGCGATATGATACTGTCATTAAATGTAAAATGTCAATATTGAAAAATTGAGAGGAATTCAAATCCGAAGATTGGTGGATGAAATTGTTCTTTAGTATTTTGAATCTATGTTATAGAATCAATAAGATATTGAAATCTCAGGGTGTAAAATCAACAGAAATGGTTAATTTAAGAAATTCGTGTAAATTGAAAATAGGATCAAAATAAACGATTTCCGATTTAAAAACTAATTATACATGTTCTCTTAGAATCTAATAAATAATGAGATCTCTGCAAAACCTTAGCAATCATGAAATCAAAATTGGATACACTTTCAATCAAATATATCATCAAATTAAGTCTATATGTTGGCTAAGAAAAATATGATTAAATGTAAATTAAGATATATATATTATTTAAAACACAATTATTCCTCAACAATAGAATCTTGTTCTTCTTCCTCTTCTTTATTATCACTTGCAACAGAATCCTTTTCTTCTTGAACCGAATCATTTTCTTCCTCCTCTTCTTTATGATTTTGTTCTTCATTTTCATTTTCTTCCTGAACAGAATCGTTTTCTTTTTCCTCTTGAACTGATTCTTGTTCTTTCTCTTCTTGAACCGAGTCATCTTCTTTAGCAGATTCTTTCTCTTCTGGAGCTGATTCATTCTTAACTTCATCTTCAACTTCTTCTGTTTCTTTTTCAGGAGGAACTTCCTCTTTCTCTGATTCAACCTTTTCTTCAACTTCTTCTTTCTGAGGTTCATTTTGTTCTTCTTCTCTCTCTGAAGGAACAACATTTTCGGGTTCATTCTCTTCATCTCTGTCAGAAGGAATGTTGTTGTCAGATGAAGAAGCTTCGTTTTCATCATTGTTCATTAATGAATCAAAGAGTTCTTCATCGTCATCTTCTTCTTCGTTGTTTGCTTCATCAGCCTCATAATATTGATTGATGAACTCAATGAGATCTTCACAGCCTTCTTTATTCTGAGCAATTGTGATTACAACAGCTCTTGCTTTCTCTGACCTTACTCTCTTTGCAACCTGGAAAGCCTTGTATTGTTCATTTTCATTTAATGCAGATTGGAACAATCTCACTGATTCCAAGTCTCTTCTGAAGATCATTTCACGTTTCTGATCTCTCTTTGCGTTTGCAAGTCCTATTGAACTTTGTAGCCAACTCTGTGCGCCATTTTCTACGGTCAATGGCATCAGTTTGACTTCTGAAAGTCCTTGTAATGGATAAGCATGAGGAACTTTGTTTTCTTTCAAGAAACATCCGAAGAGTTTGTTGTCAGAAATACTGACACACCAGAAATCTGTGTAAATTTCTTTTTCAGCATGATCCAATTGATAAGAGCCATCATCATTTGTTGATTTCTTCTTATCAATGTCTAATCCTAAATCTGATTCATCTGATTCATCAGATTTGTTCTCGTTTTCCTCGACTTTTCCTTCTGAAATGACATTTCTTAAGTTTGACATCGCTTGCCAATGGAATCCGAAGTCGAAGACTAATTCGACCAATATCTTGTCATTTCCAAGCGCGTAAACATTGTCATTTTCATCGAAAGTAACCCATCTAAGAGGCTTTGCAACAGGAATAACACCACTTGCAAGTTTGATTCTATTCGGAATATCCAATAACCAATAATCCAAAGTATCACCAAATACAACAAATAATCTGTCTTTTCCTCCAACCATTGTCAACAATCTGTCAGGAAGAGAAAGAGAAGCGTATTCGAAACCACTTGATTTGAAGATATGGATACGTCCAAGTTCTGTGGCAACAGCAACCCATCTCTTGCCAATTGCAATGAGATCGATTGTTTCGCTATCAGTGAATTTATGGGAAAACTCACTTGGAATAGACTTTGGATTATTAGATCTGTATTGGAAGTATGTTCTACTTGCAGCGCAGAAACCTTCTTTGTTCAAAGTTGCCAAAAGAAAATGTCTGTCATTTGAAAAACTGACATTTCTATTTGAGAAAACATCAGCGAATTCGACATCGATTGCTTCTCTATCTTCATCAATTTCTCTTAAGAAAATAACGCCTGTTTCATTCCAGCACAAGAATCTTCTTGATCCATCGTAATCTTGTGATGATCCTGGCATGAAAGGTCCATTATAAACTTCTTCTTCATCTTCTTCTTCGTAATAAGATGAAGAAGATGAACTTGATTCAGAAGGTGTTACTGATGCTCCTTCTTCTTTGTTTTCTTTCGTTAAACTGTCATCAATTAAATCATCGAAATTATCTTCTTTTTGTTTTGTTTGTTTCTTTCTTTGGTTTTGTTTTTCGACGATTTTGTTGATATCTCTGAAATATTGAAGTTCTTTTTCTCTTGGTGTGAGTTTCTTTCCTGATTTGCTTGTTTCTGTATCAATGAATTCAATGTCATCATCAGAGAAACTCGATTCTTCTTCCTCGTCTTCATCAATGTTGAGATATTTCTTCTGCCAATCTTCAAATTGTTGTTTTCTTTTTGCAATTTCATCATTATAAATTTCTTTTCTCATTGTTGAAGCCAATTGCTCTTCATCTGATGAAACAAAATCAACTTCTTCTGCTTCATTCTCGTAGATGCCTTTTTCGTCTTCTTCCTCCTCTTCTTCTGCTTCACTTAATTTTGTAAAGTCAACAACTTCTTCACCATCGGAATCCTTTGTTAAATAAGCTGGTGGAACTCTCTTTTTAGGGGTGAACTCTTTTGTTGGGATCTTTAGTTTAGTTCCTTTGAGTTCTTTGCTTGGAGGAACTTTTGGTTTCAATGTTAAAACTGATTTATGTTCTTCAATTAATTCTACGTCACTTTCGAGTTCTTGATCTTCATTTTGTTGAGGTGCTGGTGCTGCTTCGGTCTTCTCTGGTTCAAATACTTTGACTAATGATATTCCACCCATGTCATCACTGATGCAAATATAATTATTGATCATTTCGAAAAATGAAATGGTTTCTTGAGCTTCGCACTTGATTGTTTCTCTAGCAGTGATGTAGTTAGCCACATTTGTATGTTCATATCTTGAAACAATTAAGTTTCCATCTGTATCCAAAGAAATAAGAGTACTTTGAGGGGACATTGATATGCCAATTACTGTTGATTCGTTACTTAAACTCTCTTCTGATAGTTCTTTTGATGTGGTTGAGTAAACAATTAACGAATTTGTCTTTAAATATACTAAAAGCTCAGTTGCACTCCATGTGATTAATGTATCGGATGTGTCAAACTCTTTTTGGTCAAATAAATTCAAGGATGGAACTTCATATATGTATAATTTATTTGAAGAATCGTAAACTGAAAGATAATTGTCGTTTTTACTGAATTTAACTGATAATATTTCGTTTCCGTTTGTAATTGTTCCGATTTTTTCTTTTGTTTCCATTTTATAGAAATCAATGTTATTATCTTGTGAAGTTGCTGCAAAATATTCATTATTATGTGATGTCTTTAGGTCTGTATATATTTGCGATTCAATTACTTGATTTGTTTCTAATGAAGGCCAGGCTAATGATTTAATTCCTTCAACGCCTTCTGCAGTAAAGAGTACGACGTTTTGTGAATTATCTTCTGCAATTGATTTAATAAGACTATCCGTGATTGTGGTCAAATCTTTTGCACCTTCATTAGATAATGATGGAAATTTCGATTCATAAAGCAAACCATCATCTCTTCCAACTGAAAGTATACTCTCTTTATCTGGTGCAATGATAATATTTTTGGCGGGACCAAAGTGGACTTGCGCTTTGGTCTCCATACCTGAAATTATACGTTTAAAAAAAATCCTTTCTGTTCAAAATCATGGATTGGAGTTACAATTACTCCTATTTTTTGTTAATTTGTTAATTTCTGATCATTGAAGAGTTATTTTAAGTACATATTCATTTAAAATATCAATAAAACATTTATTTTAAATACGAACTTTACAATGTCAAATATTTTAGTTTGTAAATTACTATATGGCAAATTCGGCTTTTTGAATGAACACATACAATCAATTCTATTGGTTACTCTCAAAATAGAAATTGGAAGAAAATATAGGTAATATTATTGAATGAATTGAAGTTATCTTGATTGTGATTATTTTTGATTATAATGCCGAACAGATTTTGAATTAAAATAAAAATCATGAGCGATGACTATGCAAAGCCATATTTAGATTTTATTAGAGCATTTGAAAAGCTTTTTCTTATAAAATCTAATGAGTCCGTTGAAGATATGTGCAATATTATCACAAACGTTTTGTTATTGAAGTATCAACTTACCAAAAAGCAGCTTGCGAAGATAATTATCAAAGCACTTCAATACAATTATGCTTCATGTGATAACTATGCCAAGATATTCAAGAATATCGGAATGGAAATTAATGATCTTTCAAAATTAAAATTCCCATCTGAGAGTTCAATTGAATTTACTGTTATGCATGATCGAATTGATAAATTCAAAGAATACATTTCTCAAAATGAAATCAAAAATGAAAAATTTTTAAAAATTCCTGTTTTGAACAACATAGAATTGAAGAGTGATAGTATCAGTTTTTCATATTATCATATGAGTGAGAAAGATAATCTCGCTTTATCATTAATTGAAACATGCGCATATTTTGGATCTGTAAACATTTTCTTTTTCTTAATTTCAAGCCAAAAGTATACAATATCAAAAAAAATGCCTTCGATACTCATTAATTGGTAGAAATACAGACATTATCAACGAATGTTTAAAGAAAAATCAAATGGATAAAGATTGTCTCCGAGTCATTGTATGTTCGCATAACAATGATATGCTTGAATTCGTTTTAGAAAGAAATTTTTTTACTTATAAAGATTTTGATAGAGATAACGTAAAATTAACAGCAATTTACGAAAGTATTATCAAATACCAAAACCTGAAAGCTGTATTTCTACTTTTCGAGAAGGCAAAAGACTTCATTCTTCCATGGTGTGCTGCATTTCTTCAAACTATAGATATTCTCAAAAACCAAAAAATAACTAATAAATTAGATTTCAAGGACAGAAACATTCTACATTATGCATGCATGTCACAAAATTCTGATATTGTCAAATTTTTATTTAAGGATGGGCACTCATTAGGGTGATGAAAAAAATCAAGTCTAGCAAAGTCAATACATTAAAAATAGTGAAGACTATTATATAGCATTATAGTGCACAAGCTCACATATTTAGTGATGCATTTCTCCAACTTATTTTATTTATAAGTTAACCTTGAAACATGAATTTTAGTATATCATGAGCATATTTTTTTCTAATTTTGCAATACTTATAATATCATACCAGGATTCATGTGGAAGTCTAATATTTGGTATATAATATTCTTACAATAAATGTATTAATTCAATTATATTCAAAATGATGGGTCGCAATTTTTACTGAAATTGCAAATTTAATTTCAACAATGAAATTATTGTTTAAAAAAAATAGCACAACAGCAAGATGGACAATCATATATAGAATTATAATGCCCCATATAATGCTTTGATTTGATGCGTATATAATGTTATTTTTCGAACATCTTTGTAAAAAATTGATTTTTGTAATTTTTGAAAAAATTCGATTTTATTTCGAGATTTCCTCTATAGGTGAAGTATATTGAACAATATTCCTATGGGAGAAAATAATTGTAAGTATGAGTACTTTCATTAATACTATGGGTGCCATGGTTATCGCTCAAACGATCAAGTTATATCTCGATTGCGTAAATTGAAATTTTGCTATTTTCTAAATTCACGGCAACAACATTCTTTTATCCTGATCATACATCACAATATTTGAATGTGCGACCATTTGTTCAAGAAACCGTCAAGTTATTCTTCATTTTTCATGCCGCGGCGAACAAAAGCAGTTGCAAAGCGTATAAAGAACTTAGTTCAAAGCGCGAAAAATAGGGTAGAGCCATATGTCGTCAACACTGTTGAATTTGTGCTATCTGTATTATTGAGCGGCGCTATATTTTGCCAATCAGAATTTCAATTCATGCTGAATAACATCAAAGTTCCGTCAGAAGCTACATTTCATCGAGTTCAAGAAAAGGTTGGTCGTGTTATCATAGAAGTTGCCAGAGAATCTGTTAATTATTGGAAATCTCGAATGAGAAAATGTTCGGGACTTTTGTTTGACGGTTCTTGGAGTCAGAGAAGAAATGCAATGTTTTGCTATGTACAATTTGTAGAAGAGAAACTCAAAAAAATTGTAGATTGGGAAGTGATATCTAAATCTTTTAAAAATTTCAAAGGTAATTTCAACGGAAAATCAAATGAAATGGAATTTGAAGGCTTAAAAAGAATGCTGAAGCGTTGGAATAATGAAAAACGTGTAAATTTTTTTGTGCATGATGGCGATGTCAAAATTGTTTCTACAATCAAAAATACGTTCAAAGGTATCAGAGAATACAGAGATCCTGGACATTTTCTTAACAATATACAGAAAAAGCTCAAACTGCCAGAATTCAGAATCTTATCTAGCATTTCAAAGAATTTATTGCGTTGGCTTAGGCAACTTCTCAATGACACACATATGTCAATTAAAACAAAGAAGTTTTTATGGTTGAATTCCGCTAAACATTATGCCGGAAATCATAAATTTTGTCCAGATCCTGAAAAATGCAAGATGATTAAACCATGGAAATATGCAAAAAATAAAACTGCTATAAAAACACTTAAAAAATTCCTCGAAGATACCGTAAAAATCTTTGATATGGTAAAAAAGATTCATTCAACTCAAGTAGTTGAATCGATAAACCATATCAAAGCAATGCTTGCTAATAAAAATATTAATTGGCATGCTTCTTGGCCAATTAGGATGGCAGTCACAATATTGCATTTCAATGAAAGTATGTTTGAAACGATTGTAGCAATAAGATACAGGTTAAATTTACCAACAATGCCAGAAATGATGAACAGATATTTCAGAATGTATGATACAACAAAAGATTTAATCAAAGCATTCAAAAATTCAAAGCAAGTTCAAAAAAAGTTTGCGGCATTAAGAGCTATAAAGAGAGGTCTTCAAGCTACCGATGATCGTATTACTCTTAAATCACATAAATAATTATTAAATTTATTTCACCCTCAAAACATCATAATCTTGCACCTTCTTTGAATAAACACTTTCACCTTCTATTTTTAATTAATGTTTTTTAATTGTCCAAAATTTTTAGATTATATAAGATATAATTTTTTATAAAAGTATTATTTTCTAAAAGATAAGTATATATTCTTAATCACAAAACCTAGCATTTTATCATATCTATATATCAGCTTCCTAAATATAATACTCATATAGTTAGTATGATTTTAATGTTTTTGAACATGAAACGAAAATATGATTACAATCATATAACATAATGGAGTTATTGATATAACTTATATGCATGATACATTAAGAAGTCTTCCAACAATATAGATATAGTTGTAGATTCCTATGATTCCTTTTATATTGTGAGATAATAACATTTTTATGCTATCAGGAGCCTATGAGTGCCCATCCTTAACTCAGCTAGAAAAATTGATGTCTTTTGCAATGATGCGAATGGGATGACTGCACTCCATTATGCAGCAATGAATAATAACATAGATGCAGTTAAAATCCTTGTTTCACATGGTGTTGAAATTAATGATAACTTTACTCATCAAATTCTCTTTGATTTAATATCAATCATTATTTTATGAAAGTCCATTTATTCTCGCTATTAGAGAAAATTCAACTGATGTTTTCAGATTTTTTGTTGAAAATGGTGCTAATGTTAATATTAAACTTACTCTATTTCATTTAATATCAATTAATATTATATGGTATTTCCTTTGATTTTATATCAATCTTTATTTAATGAGATTCCCTTTGATTTAATGTTAATCACTATAATATCGAATTCTCATTGATTCAATATCATTCATTATAATATAGAATTCTCTTTGATTTAATATCAATCATTATAATATCGAATTGTTTTTTATTTAATTTCAATCATTCTAATATTTAATTCTCCTTGATTTAATATCAATCATTATAATATAGAATTCTCCGTGATTCAATATCACTTTATTATATATGATATTCTTTTTGATTTAATATCAATTATTGTTACATAGGATTCTCTTTGATTTAATATCATTATTTAATGAAATACATTTTCGGTTAATATATGTCCACTTACAATCGCTATTAAAGAAAAGTCAATTGATATCGTCAAATTCTTAGTTGAACATGGTGCTGATGTTAATGCTAAACTTACTCTATTTCATATAATATCAATCAATATTATATGGCATTCTCTTTGATTTAATATCAATCATTACAATATCATATTCTCTTCTATAATAATATCAATCATTATTTTGTAGCAATCTCTTTGTTTTAATATCAGTCATTATAATATGGTATTCTCATTGATTTAATATCAATCGTTATTTTGTAGAATTATCTTTGATTTAATATTAATCTTCAATAAATACAAATCTCTTTGATTTAATATCAATCATTATTTTGTAGAATTATCTTTGATTTAATATTAATCTTCAATAAATACAGATCTCTTTGATTTAATATCAATCTTCAATAAATGCAAATCTCTTTGATTTAATATCAATCATTATTTAATGAAATGTATTTTCAGTTAATAAATGCCCTCTTACAATCGCTATTAATGAAAATGCAATTGATATCATCAAATTCTTAGTAGATCATGGTGCTCAGAAAGAATGAATAGTAAAGTTATTTGGGTGAGATGGTATTTGGGCGTCACTTTGCGTTATAGTTTAAATTATTCAATGTTAAATGTAAACTATTTTATTTGAATGGAAAACAATTATTTTTGAGAAGTATACGGTGTATTGCAATACAAGCTGCTTTTATGTTATTTAAACATAGATGACTTAGCTGATAAGACGCGAAACCTATTCAAATTTCTTTTGTGAATTATGTAAAACCCTCAGATGGAAATTTTCGAAACATATTGACCTTTACTGTCAATTATATTTTAAGTGTCCACGTACGCCCCAATGACATGACCTTCAATTCAGTTGTCAAAAAATTGAATTAATGTTAGATGGGCGTAAGTGGAGCCTTAAAAAGTTAATCAATTTCATAGTATCATATTAAAACATTTATGCTAAATAACAGTTTAACAACAAGTATAAGTATGCCAGTCTATATGCTATTGTAATCTCTTTTATCAATCAAAAATATAATTTTTTTTAAGCATTATTATGTGAATTTGAAATAGATTATTAAATTCTAATAGAACAAATTAGTAATATATAGATTTCTTCTCTTCATCTTCGAGTTCTTTTCTTTTAATGTATTCATTTTCGTCTTCGCTGTCCATATATTCATCAGAAGTGCTTGATTCATACATAACTCTTGGATCTCTGAGGAATTTTTCACCAATCTTAATCCAATCGTTCTCATCTTCTTCAACTTCTTCGCCTTCTTCATTCATCTCTATAATCATATCCTTAAGAGCTTGAACTCTTTCGCATAGTTCATTATCTTCAGATTCATCAAGTATTTCATCGAAATTTTCAGGACCATCACTTTCCATGAAGTTTTTAATAGCAAAAATCTTTGCATTATTCGTAATAGGAGCTGTAAGTATTATCTCTATTATTTCAAAAAGAATTTTAAATTCAGATTCATTATCTATTGAAAGAAGACTAGTAATTGATGATAATATGCTAGTTTTGTATACAAATGACCTTGTATTCAACAAAAGATAAATAAAATCTACATCTGCTTGTTTCAATGATTCAAGAATGATTTGGCAACAAGGAATCTTCTGTAAAAATGTTCCATCACCTAATATATCAGCAATTACACTTAGCATTCCTTCAAAACATAATATTTGAACTGAAGTTTCGTTTCTTCTAATAAATTCTATGATTAACTCTGTCGTTTGATTCAAAATACTTTTGGAATCTGATTTTAATAGATTAACTAATAATCTTGGTGGATCTATATTTGATTCATCACTTTTTAACAAGTATTTATATAAAGTCAAAGTTTGATTGATAAAATCTTTAGGAGGATCTTGAATTGCATCCAAAATAGAATCAAATGATTGACATTGAAATGCAATATCTGGATTTTGTTTGAGAATTTCAATAACAACTTCAATTAACGAATATTTTGATTTTCCTTCGACTTGATCAAGTCCTTCTGATACAAATTGGACAATTCCAAATAGTGTTTCTTCATCAAATGGATAAAATAAAAAAGATGATAAGAGATTTATTGATAAACTTTGTGATTCATCTTCAGAATTAATAATTGCTGAATTTACTGTATCTATATCAAATGTTTCGCACGAAAAATCACGTGTAACTTGAGAAAAAGAATTGAAAAATCTGAGAAAGTTAACAATGCAGCGTTTTTCGTAGATATCGTTAGGATCAACATATAATCTAAGTAATTTTTGGAATAAAGCTTCATTTAACATTGGTTCTATTGAAGATTCAAATTGATCTTCTTTTGAACACTTAATAACATTCTGAAGAATAAGCAATGAATATGAAAAGAAGTTGTCATCACATCTTATTGCTATTTGAACGAAAGTTTCAGTGAATGTTGGAACATTAAAATTTGAAATTGATAATATATTGTTTTGGTTTGAAAATATGTATAGATTCTTTAAGTTATCAAGCATTTCATCAATCATATTTTGATTAAAGAACTCGACAAGTTGAAAATAATCCTGAATTGGATCTAAATCTGTTTTTGGAATATAATCATCATTGTTTTCTACTTTAATGTCTTCATTGACTAAAGTAAATGTAGTATTTTCGCTTGGTGTTGCGGATTCTTTAAATTCATCCATGCAAAGATTTTATTAAAGGGTCTCTCCCTAAATCTGAATTCTCATTTTTGATATCAGAACTAATATATTCCAATTATCAAGAGAGAAATTGATGGTGAATTGATTGCAAAAAGTGTCAAATTTCATATCACTTCAAAATTTCATGTCTAAAATAGTACTGATTGACGTTGATTCCACGCTTAATAATTTTCAAGAATATTTCGTTAAACTGTTCCTTGAAAAGAACCCCGAATTTAAAGATAAAGTTCCTGAAGAACCAGTTCATTTCGATTTTATGAAATTGGATAAACAAAAGGGATTAGAAATACTACAAGCTCCTGGATTCACAGAAGGAATGACTCCATTACCAGGAGCCGTTGAAGCCATAAACACACTTGATTCAAAAGGATATAATATTTTCTTTTGTACTGCCCTTGTTACAGATGATTCACCCGCAATGAGAGATAGAGTTCATTGGATTGGAAAATGGTTCGGTCAAAAGTGGATGGATAAAATTATTTTTGCAAAAGACAAAACAATGGTACGCGGCGATTTTTTAATTGACGATTCACCATTTAAAACAAAAGGATGCACAGTTCCGTTATGGAAACTAATTATTTTCGATGTGAAATACAACAGAGAAGATGAATCTTACGGAAGGATTTACAACTGGACAGATATCGATAAATTGTTACAAATCTTAGAACGCGAATGAATTGATATGATTTTATCAAAATTTGGTTCATGAAAATATTATGTTTAGTATTTTAACAAGTAATAATAGTAAATATAAGTAGTATATATTTGATAAATCTATTTTAATGTATTTATGCATGAAACACATAATTTCAATAAAAAATTTTGAACAAATCTAAATAATAGTGCATTGAGATCATTTGAATAAGACATTCTTGCATGAGTTAAGCATCAGAAAACAATATCTTGAATTGTTAAATGAGATCTTTCATCACATATCTCCATAGTCTTATATATTCTGTTTTTGAAAAATCAAAATAAATTAAATTCCATAATTAATCAGAATCATTTAGTAATTATAAGATTATTCGTGAGTAAACAAAATTTGGTTTTACATGCAAGCCGCAACCAAAATTTGATATTATGCTATTGTTGTAAACAGAAATTCATCAAAAGTGACACCTCAGAAAAGCTAAAATATTGAATTTTTGGAACTTTTGATAGAGCACGTTTTTAAATATTAATTAAAATAAATGTATATTTTGTAAAGATTCTTTTTAATAAAAAAATAAAATTTTGAAGAAGAACACAAAATCTTCTGAAAAATAATATCACATAAACTCATATTATTTTCTAATATATAACTATTTTATATAAAAATCAAATTCAATGATCTTAAAAGCGAAGGATAAACCTCAAAATTTACGAATATAATGAGTGGGAATATAATGCTTATCTATCATAAAACCATATGAAATATCAATTTTTGCTTTACGCCTAATTTTTGACGACAATTAGCAAAAAATGTTAAATGTTAACACTCAGTCCATTTGAATATGAAAAATAAAATTGACTTTGATTAGATGTTTTTATTTATCATGCAATTCTTCTTGCGACCAAAGATTTGAATAAAATTTCAAAAAATAAGATAGCTTAAAAAATAATATACGGTAGTGTTTACTAATAGATGAATAGTATATAAATTCTATTAAAATGGATTTGATCCAAAAAAATATAAAACCAAAAATAATTGTTATAATTTAAATGAAGAAGTAATTTAAAACGATTTTATTTATGATCAAATTTTATATATTTTTTTGGATCAAATCCATTTTAATAGAATTTATATACTATTCATCTATTAGTAAACACTACCGTATATTATTTTTTAAGCTATCTTATTTTTTGAAATTTTATTCAAATCTTTGGTCGCAAGAAGAATTGCATGATAAATAAAAACATCTAATCAAAGTCAATTTTATTTTTCATATTCAAATGGACTGAGTGTTAACATTTAACATTTTTTGCTAATTGTCGTCAAAAATTAGGCGTAAAGCAAAAATTGATATTTCATATGGTTTTATGATAGATAAGCATTATATTCCCACTCATTATATTCGTAAATTTTGAGGTTTATCCTTCGCTTTTAAGATCATTGAATTTGATTTTTATATAAAATAGTTATATATTAGAAAATAATATGAGTTTATGTGATATTATTTTTCAGAAGATTTCATTCTATATGCCTATGAAAAGTACTCTCAAAACTAACTTTTTCCTAATTATAATTAAATCTAGAATATTGTATTATGCTTAGTATTATTTCATTTTTCTCATTCAATTTAGAATTTACAAATGTCAAAAAATTGAGAGCTGTCACTTTTGATGAATTTCTGTTTATTACACTATTGATTCCTACATATGTGATATCATTAATCATGCGTTTAGAAGAAATAAAATTATGAAATGTTGTTCGTTTATCAATTCAGCATATGCTTTCCTTTTCATCCATATGCCAAGAATTGGAGGCAGATCTTGAGCAACAAAAAACTAAACTAGATATATTTTCAAAGAATAACTTCATTTGGCTTGATAAGATTCGACAAAAAGTTGATCCACAATCTCAAAAGCCAGAACCAAAAGAAGAACCAAAAATAAAGGGTGTATTGAAGAGAAAATCATCATTTAATAACAATGTTGTTAAAGAACAAGAAAATAATGATAATGAAAAATTATATTCCAGTTCTAAATTACAAACTGAAGAATTTGTAAAAATCGAAACCGGCGATACAGTTGACATTGAAGAATCACATCCATCTAAACTATCTTTAATCTCTTTGAATAAGAATGAAAATGAATTAATACAGAAAACTCCACCACCTCGTTCAAGTTTACGAACAAATGTTCCTCCACGACCTCATGATTTCAATTCAGATTCTCCTATTGGTTCTCCACTCATTCAAGAATCAAATAGACACGTTTCTTTTGGAGTTGCAAGGGATAATATGGATCAAATCCAGCAGCCAGCTGATAGTCCCATCATTCTTAAATCTGATATGCATGTTGATGTTTTATCTTCAGATAGCGATGCCCAAGCTTCACCATTAACTCTTGCACGTACAAACGAGAACACAACATCAAATGTTACTCCACAACGCTCTTCATTAGTTCGTCAAGTTATTCATTCTTCCTATGATCAAATGATATTAAATGATAAATCACATGAAATAATGGGTAATCACTCGGATATTGAATCTGTTTCATCTGATTTATCTGCTGGATCTTATTTCCCATCAGATTCCGGTCCAATGCCTTCTCCACTTAAAGAAGAACAAAAAACAGAACAAAATCAGAAGAGGGTTTATGCAGACTCTAAAGATATTAGACTTAGCCTTGATCCAACGCAAATTTTGCTCTCAACAGAAGAATTTACAACAACGAATGCTGGAACATTCAGCGTTGCAAGTAGTGCAATCGAGTTAACGGTTCAGGCAAAACTTATGCGTGAAAAATGGGCTAAAATGGTTGCAGAAAAGAACCAAGTTCAAGCTGCACCTGTAGAACAAGAGAAAGATGATGATGCAGAAAGTAAAGATGATCATACTGTTTACCAGATATCTGATCATGAATCAGATGCAGATGATGACGATGATAAAGAACTTGAGATGTTTGATTCGGATCCCGACGAAGTTCATGGAAAGAAAGTGCCTAACTGGGCCCATGGAGAGGGACTCAAGAAATGCTTAATTAAGCAGTCGAAAATTGACCCCGATACAATTTTCCCTAACTTCAGTAATACATGCCAACTTGAGGTTGTTTTTGGAAAGGTCAATACTAAGTGGCAGATGCGCGCTGATAGCGCAAAATGGGACCAAGATGGTCTTACAGCTGAAGAAATTAAAAGTTTCAAGAAAATTGCCGGCTATGCATAACGCCATGATAAAAATTCTCAGCCCCCTTAACTTTTTATAACTCTCCTAATCGACACGTTATGCAAACAGAGCATTTAATATACAATTATTAATGAATAATAAGGGTTTCGTTTTGCTAAAATTGTCACTTTTATAGCATATTTGTTTTTGGATGTTTTGCGAAACCAAAAAAAAAACTATGATATACAATGTGTGTGTAAAGAAAATACTTTATTTACTAGTTAAAAAATCATTTGGTATTGATCAAGTTTTTTTTTCTGGATAAGATATTATATGGATAATTGGATAGAAAATACAATTATATAATCTTGTACCTGGTTTAATTAAGCTAATTGTCATCAGAAACTTGTAATTTTTATGAATTTCAGATTTTCTTTTCATTACTGCTTTTCTTAATAGGTCAAGTTCTTATTTACGTTATAAAGTATGATATTTACAAATATCAAGTTATCATGTTTTTTGAGAAATTATGAGAAACAAACAAAAATGAAAAAGATAGGAATAGCAATGAATAGTGATGTGGGTATAGAAAATGTAAGAGATATGAATGCAAAGCAATCAGTATTTAGGATATTGACCATAGATTTCGAAAAAAAAAATGCTGCATATTGAGCGAAAACTATGATTATATTATAAGGCTGTCATTTAAAGCATAATGAAACTATTCCCTTTTCATTTTAATCGAATAAGATAGTAAAGATTTTTGAATTAGCTAGAAACTGATGAGATGTTTTCACAAATCAGATTTTTAATCTCTATAATGCATAATTCACTCAATATCTCAATTTTGATATTGCGAGATATTTTTGCTATCGGTTTCGCAATTTTGACACAATAGCAAGAGGGTTCTATAAGCATTATTATCAACGTAGAATCTGAATATCATATCAGAAAATGTCGCAAATCTGACATTTACCCGACCAAATAGCAAAAATAATTGAATACTTTTCGCAAAAACTTTAAAAATCGATAAAAATATGTAATATAGATATTAAAGAGACTTTTTATATAATATTCATAAAGATTTTCCAAAAATATGATACCGCAAAATTAAAAAAGTGACGTCTTGAGTGGAGTCAAAGGTCGAAATTGCTAGCTAAATGTTTTTTTAGCGAAATTGCGTATTGTACGTTTTTTTTCGCAAAACGAAACCCTTATGAATAACTTATCACTTTCTACTTTACTATTGTCATTGTTTCAATATATATTTATAAACTTCGCCATGATTCATAAATTTTAAATCCGAATTCAAATTTAGAAGGCTAAAAAATGACATTATATTTTATGGTAAAATACGATACCGATATAATTTAAATACAATACTGTTAAAATTTTAAGAATGATTTATTCTATAGCATTATGGATATTTTTGTGATATACACTTGAAAGAATTTCAAGGTGTTCTCAAAAATATCAGTAATGAAATAGAATTTTTTAATGTCTGTTCAAAGCATTCATCCAAATAAATTCGGTGAATTGCGAGAAAACTTCAAATACTACATCGATGCATATAATGCATTGTATCAGCTAAAAACTGAAAATGAAGAAGAATTAAACAAGATTTACAAAATGATCAATACAGAATTGATCGATTCAAAGAAATGATCACCAAAAAAGATTATGGAAGATATTTTAAATATCATTCCGTATAATAATCGCTATGCAAAGTCATATTTATCTCTTGCCAAATTCATATCTGATGATTATCATGTGGAAGATGTCAAACAAATTGCACCTATCTCTAACTACCTGTTTTATAAAGAATATGGAATTAAATTAAACAAATCTGATGCTTTTGAAAAAATTAAATCAGAAAACCTCAATATTCATACAGATAATACAATTTACAAGGCAATTATGTATAACGACAAAGAAACATTCATCTCATTCACAGAAAAAGAAGGATTTGATAAAGATCAAATACTTAACAACAGTTTGTATCCATTATTGATGCATGATTTTTTGGGATATTCATTACTTGAATTATGTTGTTACCTTGGAGCAGTTGATTGCTTCAAGTTTTTAAGAACGAAATTTAACTCATTAATTACTGATACATGTCAAGAATTTTCATTTTTGGGAGGAAATCAAGAGATCATGAATGAATGTTTGAAAATTAAAGAACCAAATTATCAATGCATGAAATATGCAACCATTTCACACAACATTGATTTTGTTACATTCTTGGTGAATGAATACGGTTTTAAAATCGATTTAATTTGTTGTGGATTGTATAATAATCTTGAATCATTTTTAGTTTATTTCGATCAAACTAATGATGTTAACAGATGTTTTGTTTATTCGACGTTGTTTGAACTTCCATCTCTTTGTGAATATTTCCTATCACTTGGTGCAAATATCAATATAATGGGAGAATTTGGAACAGGTCTTCACATTGCAGCACGGTATAATTGTGTAGAGATAGCTGAATTTTTAATATCGCACGGTGCAAAAATCAATAAAAAGAAATCTGAAGGAGGCACACCTCTCCATTATGCCGCACAATATAATAACAAAGAAATAGCCGAATTTCTAATCTCCCATGGTGCAAACATCAATAAAAAGGATGATTTAGGGAGAACCGCTCTTCATGATGCAGCACGGTTTAATAGTAAAGAAATGGCTGAACTTCTTATTTCACATGGTTTAAATATCAACGAAAAAGATGAACATGGACAAACTCCTCTTCATGATGCAGTACTGAATAATAGTAAAGAAACTGCCGAATTTCTTCTTTCACATGGCGCAAATATCAACGAAAAATATGATGAAGGGAGAACTGTTCTTCATGATGCAGTAATGAATAATAGCAAAGAAATGGCTGAACTTCTTATTTCACATGGTGTAAATATCAATGAAAAAGATATATATGGATATACCCCTCTTCATGATTCAGTAAAAAAGAATAACTTTGAAATGACCGAACTTCTTGTTTCACATGGTGTAAATATCAATGAAAAGGATAAACATGGAAAAACCCCTCTTCAATATGCATTAAAAATTAATCATAATATTGCTGAACTTCTTATTTCACATGGTGCAAATATTAAGAATGCACCCAAATGTGTGTTAATTTGAGAACTGGGCATGGATATATGCAATTTTGAGGAGTTCTAGGGTATTATCAATGAATAATCGGTAGGGAAAAAATCATTCAACTTCTCACTAAAAATGCAATTATAATAGTTAACTCCAATTTTTTTTCCTCAAATACTCAAAATATATTTAGATTAAATTTTAAATAATCGTTTTTGGGCGTTTTTTGCGCCCCATGTAAAACCCTATTAGTGTTCCTGCATGATTCTTTTATCTCAATGTAGGACACTAATCGAAAAAAATCTAACAGGATAAATCACTTTGAATCACATAAAATGTAAGCGTGACTTTTTCCCTCAATTTTTGTAAAATTTGAAGTGAAAAAAGAATTACAATTTTTGCAATCTCTGCTTAATCATAAATTAAGTCTGCATATACCCGTGTGACATATACTTCAATTTTGTTGTTTGAGATTAATTTTCAATGATGCTTCACGGAAAGTTGTCAGAAATTTCAATTAAAGTCAGATTGGTGTACTTTTGAATCAAAAATAATCGTCTGAATGAGATTTTTTTTAAACAAAAATGATAAGATATAAACAAGAATATATATAATAATTTATTAAAATTCAAACAAATTCTTCTATTTGCGATGGAGCAATTGTCCAGACTTCAAGGAGAGCGTCTTCAGAAACAGATGCCAATGTCCAAGGCGAATCTGGACACCAATCAAACGCAGTGATTGCAGCGACATGGCCGTTATGCGCAAAAACAGTTGGAATTTCAGCCGTTGTAGTATTTCTGAAACTCCAAATTGTAATTGCTGTATCTTGTGAAGCACTTGCGATAATATCGGGTTCTATTGGAGACCATTTGAGAGATGTAACGCTGCTATCATGAGCGTGAACATTTGTGAAAGGAGTTCCTGGATTTCTAATATCATACATTGAAATAATTCCTGTAGAGGAACCTGTAACAAATAAGAATGGATGATGATTAGAGAATTGTATCGAGGTAATTCCTGATCCAAATTTAAGGGTCTGTTGTGAATTTGGATCTCTTAAATCTAAAAATATAGCAGATTTTCGTCCTTGGGCAATAAAAATCTGGTTTGTATCGTTTTGGTTTATCGAAATATCTAAAACTGGTCGATCTAACGCAAGAATTTGTGTTAATGAGGAGTTATGAGGGTCAAATTGGCAAACTGTATTGTCTTCGAAGCAAAATAATGTATTAAATGGTGTTTTAGGCGATGAGTGTGTAAAATATGCTGGTGAACTAACTTGTTTTGAATATGTTTCTGTTTCTGTCAAAATTGAAATTGATTGATTGGTTCCAACGAAAATGTTACCTGCTCTATCTGTTGTGCAGCATAATACTTTGCCTTCTAAAGGTATAATACGCTTTTGATGTAATTTTCCCCATTCTTGATTTGGTTTTGTTGGATGAAACTCTGGAGAGTTCTTATTAGGAAAGCATGCTGTCCATAATGAAAGAGATGAATTTTGATCGCCTGGATGGGCCATAACTAGTCCATAATAAGCAGAATCAGAAATAAAATTTGAATTTGATGTAAAATTCAAAGATATTGGCCGACTCTGTTGTGCATGAACAATTATTCCATCGTAAAACTCATGCACATGATAACGCCATTCAAAAAAATCACGGACAATATCACTCATATTGAAATGATTGGAACCATAAATAAAATTTCTCGCCCTTTATATTTTATCATTTTATAAAAATTTGTGTTCAATATTAATATGAATTTGGATATGCTATTTCTCACTAAGTATTATTCCCTTAATAACTCAATGTTTTTTATAAAATAAATTAAATTGGAGATTGAAATTATCAAATTGAGTGCACACTAGTATGTATATTTTCACGGAAAGCAGATATCCTTGCATTTCTTAGCAGTGTTAATGATATAATATGTTAAATATTTCATCTCAAAATTGATTTCATTATAAATCTTATTGAAACTTGACTATTTTCAAATTACTGAGCATTTACATTTACTTATGACAAATTAGCAGTAATTGTTTGACATTTCCACATCAATTTGTCAACCACCGAAAAAAATCAAGATGTTTTAGCTTATAGAATGAAGCATATGTTTGTATGTATGACAATCATATAAATCTTTTAGTCAATAAACCCTTGTAACATCTAATTTTGAGAAATGAAATGTAAAATATTTGAAAAAAGTGACGCTGAATTAGAATGGTGAAAGCTTATCAAGGAAATAGTCCTGTTTTTAATTCAACGGACTGTTTCCTTCTGATAATTATATCATTCTTCGCATTATTCACAAGATTATGGATGATTGCAGAGCCTTCAAAAGTTATTTTCGATGAAGTCCATTTCGGAAACTTTTCTGCATGGTATATTCAAAATCGCTTTCATTTCGATATTCACCCTCCTCTAGGCAAGATGTTAATGGGATTTATTGCCGGAGCAACTCAATACAAAGGAGATATTGATTTCGCAAACAAGTTTGGAGAGGATTACCACGTAAATGAACTGTTCTTTGTATCTCAGAGAATCACTCCTGCAGTGTTTTCAGCAATGACAAGCCCTCTTTTGTTCTGCGCAATGCGATGTTTATCAGTTCCTTCATTTTTCGCTGCATCAGCCGGATTGATACTTACAACAGATATGTCTCTTATCGTCGAAGGTAAGTTTATACTGTCAGATGGAATGCTTCACTTCTTTACTTGTCTACATATTTTCGCTTTTTGTCTTTTCATGAACAAGGCAACTCCATGGCGAACAATATTCGCAGGCGTTACAATGGGCGCTGCCATGGCTTGTAAATACACAGCATTAGGTCTAATTGCTGTAGATGGAATGTCTCAGCTTGTTTGGATAATAATGCACTTCCCACCGATCATAGATATAATAGAGCGTGGTACTTTGATGCTTGTGCCTGCTTTCTTTACCTTTATTTCCGCTTGGATTTTACATTTCGTTATTACACCTTACACAGGCTACAACTCCGAATACATCAACGTAAATCATGCTTCTACCCTCATACCATGGGGAAAGGAGAACGTTACTTACTGGGGAAACAGATTAATCGGATCCGGATTTATTGAACGCATAATAGACTGGAATATTGTTATGAATAGAATCAATATGAGATCAGATATTCCTCACCCTTACGAATCATATCCAAAATACTGGCCACTTTTGATGGATAAATATGTTGGTTTTTATCATGCTCCAAATAGGAATATTCATTGTTTGGGCTCACCAGCAACATATTGGCTATCATCTGTTGCCATAGGATTGACTTTTGTCGCTGCATTATTTAGAAAGATTGATTGGAGAAATGTTTTGTTGACATGGGCCTGGGCAGTGTCATATTTCCCATTTGTCCTCGTTCCCCGCACAATGTTCATGTACCATTACTTAGTTCCTTTGATGTTTGCGATTATGAATATGTGTTGTCTGATTCACTGCGCATTACCTGAAGGAATAAGCGACTCTGTTATGATGCTTGTTCTTGTTGTATCTATTGCTTGTTATATCTACTTCCGACCTTGGATTTACGGTCTTGAGTGTCCAAGTTGTCCAACAACCCACATGTGGTCTCACCACTGGCACAAGGGTTATGACAAACCTATTTACACTGACATTCTCAAGATGTATAATACTACGGAAAGATATGCAACAATTTAATTTTATTTTTTTATTTATTTGATAAATATAAGTTTATGAGTGAAAATAATCGATGTTTTTAAAATTGCTTATTATTGTATTATGTTATTTTAAGTTTAAAATTGAAAAATAGTTGCGACACTTTTACGGGCTTATTTATAAGCCCGTAAAAAGTGTCGCAACTATTAAAATATATATATTCACTTTTTAATCGTCGTTCCTCTTTTGAATATATTAATTGCAATTTTTTGATATAAAATTGCAAAACTATTATGTTCCTAAGCATTCTCAAAATCAAAGATATCCGGATTTAAATAAGGAGAAGGGAACTCAAGTATGCCTATGCGATAAATGAGAAACATATCTAGGAATTCATGGAAACAGAGGGTATTTCTCTACTATTCAATTATGAAAAACAGCATTTTAAAAATAAGACTAAGATTTAAGTGAGATGTTTAGTGATGAAAGAAAAACACAAAGAAAAGAAATATATTTACTATGTTGAATGTTTTCTTTGATTTCATAAATAATAGGAATATCTGCGGGACATAGAGCAGTTGAAAAATGAGAAAAATTATGAGTAAATTCATTTGTGATAGTATTTGTAAAGGTAACTGTTCCCCATGTTAATGGAGAATTGTTATCAATGTAACATCCATCTAATGTAATTTTACCTCCAAAATAATACCAATCAAGATTGTTATTTATAAAACTACTATTTTTGATATAAACTAAACCATAAAGAATACCTCCAACATTGTTATTTAAAATGTTACAATTTCGAATTTCAAATGTTTCTTGAGAATTGTAATGAAATAATTTATAAGCACCCGTACCCCCACTTGTTGAATTAGAAAAAGTGGAAAATGAACAATTTGATCCTTTTGAAAATGAATCAATTTCATAAAAATCTCTATAATATATTTTCGAAAATGAAATGTTGATTGATTTAATTTCGATTTGGCCGTTTATTAAATAAAGATTATAATATCCAAGTAAACTTTCATCTCCACTTTTACTAATAGAGGAATCATAAATATAATTTTTGTAGGTGTTACTTTCACTAACATCAATTTTACAGTAAACACCTTGTGTAGTTTGTGAGTTTACTTTAGAAGCGAAACTGCAGACGCGATCTTGAACAAATTCGCCTTCTTGTTGATAGAAAATACAACCACCTGCTTGACTGTTACTACAGTTATTAAATGTTGTAGTATCAATGAGGAATTTGATTGTATTTTTTGTTGTATTTAAGTAAACTGAACCTTGTGTGTTTACTTGAGTGAAAAAGCATGATGAAACATAATAACTGTTTTCATCTGCTGTAAGTTTACTATGATTGTTTGTAAAATTTTCGTATGATTCTGTGTTTGGATAAAATTCTGTCCAATCTTCATGAATTTGAATTCGAGTTGCATTGTAGAATTGATGTTTAAAGAATATTGAATAACATTCATTTCAAAAAAAGATTTATGAAATAGTTTTTATCCCCTATAAAAGGGAATTTTGCTATTCCATAAATTTTGGATAAAAAAGTGTCATTCGGAATTTTTCATAAAGTGAAAGAGAATGTGGAGCCATAAGTATAAGGAGAGATGGTACTCAAATTCTTAATTATGATTGCGTTCTTCAGTAATTTTAAATGACGATTTCGTCTTTCCTTTTGAAATTTGTCAATTACCTAATAATAGAGGAGTATCTATCATGTTTTCAAGTGATTCTTTTGATAGGAAGAAATAAAATTAAAAGATATAAAATGTATTTGAAATATCACATGTAAATTGAGTTGAATCATTATTACAAATATGAATTATTTAAATAAATTTTTTATTGATTCAAAACAGATTTAACAGCTCTTCTTTCTATCAATTGGAACTCATCTATATTGTAAATATCAGTGAGAGGGAAGAACGACACTCCTGATGTTTTATCGATGTGAATGCAAATATCTGACTCACTTATACCAATAACGAGTCCAACTCCAATTGGAGTCTTCACAACATCATCAGGGAGGAATCTTAATCCAACGAAATCTTTCGTAGACACAGAAACAAACAAACCATTTCCAACTTTAGAATAATACATTCTTTTTGCAGGTAAATCAGCTCTAAACACTATTTCTGCATTCTTTAGATTATCTATTGGAATGTATTTTCCTTCTCTATCATTAGCCATTGTTTCTACAACAACTTGTTTAGTTTCTTCATGTAAACCAACAAGTGTCACTTTTTCACCATTTTCCAAAATTATTACATCTCCAGGGATCAAATTTGTATTTTGGAAAGCGGATGAAGCAACATTGATTCCATCGAAAATCACTGGATCATCTGATATTCTTCTAATCAATCCCAAAAACGGCCTTTCCGTGGAAGCAACACCGCCTCCCAACGCTAAAACATCATCAGTAATTAAATACCATTTTTTGTCAACTTTTCCGATTAATGTCGCCAAACCTTTTTTCGTTAAAACTCTGTCTCTTGGCTTGTACTCGTCTGTTTCCAGGCAGGACACTTCAGCATCTACAAGACTATTAGATAATGTCGTGAACGTCTGTTTGATTGAATCTTTTGACTCCCTTCTGACGACCATTAATTCATTAGGAAAAGCAAAATTAATTGTTTTGTCAATCGGATCTTTGACGACGACATTGATACCGAAAGAACCAATGATCGTGCAATAAGAAGTGTTCTGCAATACAAGATCATTGATCTTCAAATTGAACTCGTCTAAAATGCTGCATGGTTCTAATTCAACTGGATAATCGTTTCCGTTTATCGTCATGTATTGAATTTTTCTATCTTTTGGAGTTACGACTTTAAAGAGGTTGTGGATGGATCGGACATCCGGTTCTGAGACTGTTACACAACCATTATCTTCAGGATACTTGAACCATAACGCTCCGCCGAATACTCCGACAACTTCTGCGAAAGAATTGAAATTGTCTTGGACTTTGTCGCCTGGATAGAATCCAAATGCTCTAACAGTGGCTGGAGATGTGTCTACTTGTGTATTTATGCCACTGCGAGTTAACATTGGAGATATAGAATTTGTATTTGGCCTGGAAATGAGTTTTACGTTGGAATAAAGTTCATGGAGAGACTTAACGATGTAAATAGAGTTCTTGTTGTCTTCGTTGTTCTTCAAAATAACTCCATTTGAATAAGATCCGACAACTGTGAACGATTTTCCTTCCATTTCGACTTTATCGCCTGGTAAGAAGCCTGACCATATCAGTCCTCTATCGGAAATGTCAACAGATATTGGTTGGTCGCTTGCTTCCATTTCAAATAATTGCGGTGAGAATTTTTTGCGTCTCATTCTCATTGTCTGCTCGAGTTTGAAGTATTCACGACCTGGATGTACCGGGAAACACTCCAATCCTTCTGCAATTATGATATGAGAGCATCCGGCACAAGCCCACATAATTTTGTGGCCTTCTGCTGCTGTTGCTCGAGAAGGAGTCGTAACTTTGTCGATGGATGTGTTGCAGAGTCTGTAGGCGTCGCCATCTCCGCAAGTATATAATTCGTACTTTTCTGTGATGTATGCGACAAATGTATCACCAATCGTAGCCATTAAAACTGGATGTTCATCCATTGATGCTAAATGAACGAATGTATTTGATTTTTTGACATTTGGAATTCCGAGTTCGCCAAAATTGCTTGTTCCGGCAACATAAACACGGCCACGAACATCTATGGCGATTGAGAGTAATGAATATGCGAAAATTCTTTTGATTGTTAATCCATTTGCAAAATTGACTTTTTGAAGGACTAATGAGGACCATTTCTTTCCCATACCGCATGATTTCGAGTGTCCCATAACCCAAAGATTACCAGTTGTTGATAATCCGAAGATTTGGTTCTTTCCTGCTGCTGCATCGCATAAAATATCGGGACATTGGCATGGTTTAGCCGTTCTCGATTTCTTGTACCAAACGTAAAGCTTGCCTTCAGTGCTAATTCCTAAAATATTGTCAACACCGCAAACTACATAAACAATACTAATTGATTTTAAGCTTTCTGGTATTAATTCGACTGGATCTGGGCCCCATTCGAAGCCGCAAACAAAAACTGTCTTGTTTTCTGTTAAAATTGCTGTAATTTTATCGCCACATGAAACCCAAATTGGTTTTAATTCGGATAATGGAAGAGATAGCGTTGGTTCTAAGCATGCTCCAATGCCTGGACCAAGTTGACCTTCGTTATTTTCGCCTGAAACGTATATTTGATGATCTCTTGTTAAAAAAACGTTATGCTTCCATCCACAAGCAAACATATGGATAGGAGGTAATTCAGTAGCTATTCTACTTAGTAAGTTTGTGTTAGCACGACGTCCAAGTCGTCCTTCTCCAGCATATCCTGCGCTGGAGATAACTTGATGCATAAATGAATATTATTAATTTTGATTTTGGATTTTGTTTGCTAATTATATTTATATTCTAATTTATTTTATTCCAAGTCCAAAATTTTTCTAAAATCTGTCACTTTTGTTACAAAGCAATCTTGTTTTTGATTGATCTTTTCCCCTCGTTAATCAATAACTACAAACCCGCACTATGGAAGCCGCATTACCTTGAACTCCTTCATCAAAACTCCTTGAAACAAAGACAAAAACTGTTATCAAATTAATTCACAAATCCAAATAAGGTAGTCACAAAATCTAAGTAGTGAGGCTCTCAAAAATTGAACCGTACTCCATACAAAATTTGTGTACCCTCACTACTTAGATTTTGTGGCCTTCAATTGAGAGGTTAGTTTTGATAGAGCACGTTATAAAATTAAAAGGGAAAAATAAATAAAATTTAAACATTTAATTATATATAATGTAAGGAGTGTAATTCCAAATTTTCTAAAAACTATTCAAATTTGAGCGTTTTTTTGGAAATAGTAAATCTAATATGTACATCTAATAACAACATGATTCATCACCTTTTCAAGCTCTGCAGTCAATTTTTTGAAATTTGATTGAAATAAATGTAGCAAAAATTACATTTCATTAGGGAATATATGAGTTTCTCTGGAAACAGGCTGATAAATTTTAAAATTTGTCCAATCAACATGAATGCATTGAGAAATTTGGATTGATTTTCTGGTAGAATCTTGAACAAAGGTCAGGTATGAGGGGCTTCCAGGGGCTGCGCCCCTTCTAGCCCTAAGAAATTTTGCCCAAGACCCAAGAGGAGGACCGAACCCCAGCCGACCAGCCGGTGACAAAACCAAAACCGTTGTTATTTACATCATATTAATGGTGTCACTTTTAAAAATGTCACTTTTTGTTTCACTTTTCACAAATTATATATGTTTTCATGCTTTGTCACTTTTCTGTCACTTTTCGGGTAAAAACATTTTTATTATTATATATAAATGAATTTTACAAAACCACCGTTACCGTTCTTTGGAAATAAGAGTAGATGTAAAGATATTATATTGAGAGAACTTAAGAAACTACCGAATGGTCTAACATTTGTAGATTTGTTCGGTGGAAGTTTCTATATATCCCATTTATGTCATACAATATTCCCAGACTCAAAGATTATATGCAATGACTTCGACAACTATATGGACCGTCTCAAACATATTCCAGACACAAACAATATATTGAAAGAGTTAAAAGAAAAGATACCTATAGGTAAGATGGAACGTATACCATTAGATAAGAAAAATATTGTGAGAGAGGTTTTGAAAAAAGCAGAATATATAGACTGGGATAGTATATCTGCTAGACTATTATATAGTGGTTCTATAAGAGTTCATGACATTGAAACACTTATGTCAAAAGTTTTATATCTTAACTATACAAATGTTTTCAAAGAGGACATAGAAAAATATATTGAGGGTATAGAGTTTGTGAGATGTCGTTGGACAGAGTTGTATGAAAAATATAAAGACAAGGAAAATGTTTTCTTTATAGTGGACCCGCCGTTCTTTAACACATGGGATTTTCAATACCAAGTAGACTGGACTTTGAGAGACTCTTTAGAAACTTTAGACGTTATACATAACCATCCATGCTTTTACTTTACATCCGATAAAAGTGGTTTGGAAACCGTTATGAGATGGTTAGAGGACATACATGACTATGAGTTTAGATATGACAAGATAGAATATGAGAGAGGTCCTATAAACCGGAGAAAGTGTCATAACAAAGAAATTTTATTAGTAAGTAAATGTGGTTTGAAATAGGACTACTTGTTTTAGGTTTTTTCCATTGTGTCATTTATTTATTTGACGTGGCAGAAAGTAGAGAATATGAAGATGAACCAATGCCTGCAAATGTTCAGCATATGTACTCGTAAGAGATATTTTTATCTAATATTAAATGGACGCACAGAACTTAGCGAATGCACAGCAACCTGGACAACCAAACCCAGAGAATATTCCAAATGAAGTTAGAATACAAACTGCAATGGCAAACTATGGTCAAGTGCCAACAGATGTACAAATGCAAACTGCCATGTCAAATGACGCTGCGTTAGGTTTGCCACCATGGTATGCAAATATGAGATGGAAAGAGTTTTATACAAACCCTGAAGTGGGATATAAACAACTTTATGCAGATGACGCGAACACAGGAGTTGACCCAGAATATGTTTTCTACCAGAGGAGAAACAGAATGTATGAGCTCCAGTTAAAGAATGCTATGGAACTCAACAGGAAACGTAAGAGACTAGGTGGACATTAGATTTTTACATATAGTAAAATGGGTTTCTTCAGTAGTATTGGAAACTTCTTCAGAAGAGTTGGAAGAGGTATATGGAATGGAATAAAAACCGTAGGAAGAGGAATTTGGAACGGAGTCAAAAATATTGGTAAAAGAGTAAGTCAGTTTGTTGGTATTATACCTAAAGACCCTGAACCAGAAGAACAAGCTCCTGTTTACAACAGCCTGAACCTGCACCACAGTCTAGTTGGCAACCAAATCCAACACCTCAACCGTATTAAAAAATTATATTTTTACCGTTCGATAGTAGTTGTATATGAAACTAAGTTCTAAGTAAAACGCATGGTATAATGGAATTATTCTTTTTCTTCCATCTGTAGTAAACCATACTTGAAAGTCTGAAATACTTCCACTTGGTGGTTCGTATAACTTTGTAGGTTTTTCGTAAAAGTCATTTGCCAAGCATAAGAAAGAGTTTTGGGCGCCAGAAAATGAAGCATGAACAATAATAGCAGCTGGGTCGAAAACATTTTCATATGTTCCATTAGGGTTTTCGACTTCATAAAAGTCTGGGTGTACTGGATATGCTGCAGGCTGATTTAACATCCTCATAAATCTATACCATGCAAAGTTGTTATATTTTGTAGAAATATAAACGTTTTCTCCAAGGTCTTCTATTCTATTGATTTTAACAGTTGCATTTTTCCTGTCATAAATAATATCGAGATGGTACTCTCCCTCGTCAATGTTATACTGGTTTGCATATTCGATATAGATATTGTTTATTTTTTCTTGAAAAGCTTGAAGAGTTGTTTCTAAGTTTACAAGCAAACTAACTTGTAAAAGTTTTCCCTGTTCAAATTTCTCATACATACGTTTTTCTTTGTTATAGTATCGAACTTCAAAACCGACCGTAAATGGGAAACCATGTATGGCTTCTGAAATGAACTTCATTCTACGAAAGCCAATAGCTTTTGTGACAGATGGGTCTCTTAACCATCTTAATGGGTAGTCAAAACGATAGCCTTCATGCTTTACGGTATCTGTCTCAAACTTTTGACCGACATTAGTAAAAAGTTCATCTAATGGTTTAGTTGTAGCAACTCTTGAATTTTCTTTTTCTATTGGAAGCATATTTTATCTATAATAAAAATGTCAAATGAAACAGCGTCTATGAGAGAAATACAACACAACCGACAACTCATTATGCAAGCTCTAAATAAGAACACAACAAACTTTTCAAACTATTCTAAGATATCTGAGTCATTGAAAGAAGGAAACTTAAAACTGACATTAAACCCAATGACAGATGAGTTTCTATTTCAAGACAATAAGAACCATACTGTCTGTATAAATCCAACAAAAGGAACTTTAAACGAGAAACCTATAAATGAACTTCTTTTGAAAGCAGATGTTGACAACAAAGCTGACAAAGAATATGTAGACGATGCAATAGCAAAAGAAGAAGAAAGAGCTAACAATGCTTATGCAACAAAAGAACATACTCATCCTGAACTAGCAGACAAAACATATGTTGACAATAAAATGTCAAGTGAAGTGACAAGAGCTGAAAACGAATATTCTAAAAAGACTCATATACATTCTATATCTGAAATAACAGACTTAAACGTTAGCCTTGAAAAGAAAGCGGATAAGGAATATGTGGCTAGTAAGTTAGAGAAGAAAGCAGATAAGGAATATGTGGATGAAAAAGATAATGAAATTATAGAAAGGGCTGAATGGTATCATGAATGGACATCGAAGATTTTAAAAACTAAAGCCGATACAGGATGGGTTTCAGGATGTTTAGACCTTAAAGCAGATAAAACTTATGTTAACGATGAGTTAGAGAAGAAAGCAAATAAGACTCATACACATACAAGTTTTACAACTGTTGCTATAGAAAGTATTGAAGGAACGGTTGAAGAAACTGGTGGGGATGCATTATATTGTAAACCTCCTAACTTTCCACAAGGTTTAACATCGGATGACAACATAACGACGATGAGAAACATTAGATGTAAAGATGTTTATGTCATGAAGGATGAACATAATATTAAATTCACTGCTCAAGATTTATATGACAAGAAAGCAGACAAAACAGAGCTTCAAACATTAAAGACAGAAATACTTCAAACATTATATCCTATAGGCTCTATTTATACGTCAATGAACTCTACCAGACCAGAAACAGTTCTGGGTTTTGGAACTTGGACTCAAATAGTCGACAGGTTTTTGTATTGTGCAAACTCTTCAAAGGAAACAGGTGGAAGTAAAACGATTTCAGGTGAAAATTTACCTGCACACAGTCACTACATAGATTTAAGTACATCTCAAGCAGGTTGGCATAAGCATAGATATTGGGATTGGTCAGCAATGACAAAAGGTAAAGGATATGATGTTAAAGACAACGTTAAGTTTGCTATAAATTGTTACTGGAGTAACACTGAGGGAGGAGGAAACCATACACATCACGTTTCAGGATATACGCAAACAACGGGACAAAGTAAAGAATATATGCCACCTTACATGACAGTTTACGCATGGTATAGAATTGCTTAGTCGTCATTTTCAACTTCTTTAGCATATTCGTCAGGAGTTGTCTTATATTTGTTAGAAACTGTCTTTGAAAGTATACCACCTTGAACTTTGACAAGTTTGAAACGAGGTCTGACAATAGTAGTTTTATCTTCTGCTTGCAGTGTGTACATTTTGCCATGTTT